CTGGACTGACGTTCACGGCACCCGTGGAAAATCCCTGCTGGGCTCCAGAACTTCCCACTACACGGAGAAGCACCATGCTCTGTACTCACGTACGGATCGCCCCATGCTTTCCTGGAAGGGGGCATGGCCAACAGCTGTAACCCCATGGTCTCTCTGTGTGTAAACACGCCCTGAGTCACAGGCGAAGATTCTCTTACGCTACTTTGCTATGTTCCCGATTTGGACGTATCTGAAGAGGGTGGCAGCAGAGGGGCAGACGGGATGGCACCTGCATTACTGTCAGGAGGCGTCTGCCCCTCTCGACGGCCTGTAATTTCATCCCTCTCAGTATTTGGAGGAAGTAGAACGGAGCCTGTCCTGGAAGCGGATGCATCCTGGCAACACTGGGTGCTTTCCTATGCCCACACACGTCCACCCGGCTCACTAGATGGTGCAAAACAGAGCGGCCAGGCTGCTGACGGGGACTGGGCGTTGTTCTCATATAAGCCCAGTCCTCCATCAGCTTCACTGGCTACCCATCAAAGTCCAGGCCCAATTCAAGGTGCTGGTTATCACCTATAAAGCCCTTAACGGCTTGGGACCTGGTTACCTGAAGGAGCGCTTGTGCCATATCTGCCCTCCCGCCCCTTGAGATCGGCGGCAGAGGCCCTTCTCCGGGAGCCCTCCGTGAAAGATATTAGGAGGGTGAGTACCTGGAGGAGGGCCTTCTCTGCGGTGGCGCCCCATCTATGGAATGCACTCCCCAGAGAGGTCCGCCTGGCGCCGTCATTTGTTTTTCGGCGCCAGGCCAAGACCTTTTTAGCTAAACGCTATTTTAATTCTTGAATTTATTTATTGATTTTATATTTATGCCGGGATGTTTCCAGTTTTTTATGTATTTGTAGAGCTATTTATTTGTATTGGAAGCCGCCCCGAGGCTTTTGCGAATGGGGTGGCATGTAAGTATTCCGAATAAATAAATAATAAATAATAGTGGCTGGAATTACCTGGAGACCCCTGTTCTGTGGAAGGGATCTTTAGAGCCATGCACAAAAACACGTCCAGGAGACTTTCCCCAGGCAGGCACAACAGGCAGTGGTTACAGGCACGTGTTTGACCAAGCTGCTTTTTTTCCATTCTGCAAACAGCACACGCAAGTCCTTGAGGGCTACCAAGACCTTTCTGCGTGCAGGCGTGTGTGTGTGTGTGTGTGTGTGTGTGTGGTGGTGGTGGTGCCCAGAAACCACACAGTTTGAGCTTTTTAGAGGAAAAGGGGGAATGGAGCAGGGAGGAGGGAGCAGAGGAGCGAGATATTTTAAGCTATGGGCCTTGGAATTCAAACACTATGTTTATTCACTTAGTAATGTGGTAGAAGTGCCAACATCAACAGGAGGTTCACAGCAGGAGTTTCATGCTGGAATCATATATTTTACACACACACACAGAGGCGGCCGAGGTGGCTAATGGTGTTTGCTTAAGCTCTTTCCTCTCCTGAGCTCAGTGCACAAGCAATTGCAGTAACTTTCTGCCTATGGCATTCTCCAGAGCAAATTCCCTTGGGGTCACTGGAGCGGAATGTCTAAGACGACGACTGGACCAGAGCACAGGCCCATCTAGCCCAGTATCCCGTTTCCATCACGAGTCCATTTTGCACCGCTTACTGGTGCAGGCTACATGTTCTGGTACCACCTGAAGAACGCAACACTGTCCACTTAAGCAGGGCATACGGCCTCCTCCAAGGACCATCTCTCAGTCTCCAGTAAAGGGAGAAGGTCTCCAATGTTAACCTGGGTTGTGCAGGTGAATTTAAGCACTTTCTTCCAATTAATTAATTAATTAATTAATTAAAACATTTTTAGATGATCTAGTTGAGAAGTGCTGTGCTCACCCAGCATAGGAAGCAAGCCTATGGGCCAGTTCACACAACATGACACGCTGTAGTGCTTTCTTGCACAGGCCAGTCTGTTGTGTCATCCGAAACCTGCTGTGGTACTTCAGCGTGGTACATTTGGTTTTTAGAAACCACAATAAGAAACAGTGTTTTGTTCTATTGTTTCTCTGCGTCGCCATGGTTTCTCTGATCATCTGAACCCAGCACGGTGGTTTCCACAGTCCTGCTGTGCAGCTACCAGAGAGTCCCTTGGGCAGAGTGGCAGCTGATGCAGGAGTTACTCCCGCCATCCAGTGTGGGATTGAATTTCAGGGTTGATGGGATATGTGCCAATGGCAGGAGGACTGAACATGGACGGTGGAAACCACACTAGTGTAAAAACCACGGAATCGCCTGTCTGGAACCTCCAGGGAAAAAACACCAGGGAAACCATGCAGGGTTTCTTGTCATGATGCATGAACCCAGCCCACAACCCCACAGCAGAAGCACCAACTGCTTAGCAGCAGCAGCAGCTTAGTTTTCAGGCATGCAAACCTACTTGGTGAACTTCCTATCCAGTAATCTGCAGAGACCAAATGCTACTTCTGTATCAATGACGCATCTGCATTTGCCTGAATGCTCCTGAATATTCATTCCAAACCAAGACAATGGAATACCTGGCGGGAGCTGAGGTATCAGAAGTGATGACAGATCTGTAGTTCATGTTTCTTAGGCTATAGGGAAGTCCCCCCTGGAGGAATTTCCAAATATAATAGATTCTGAAGCCTGGGATGGAAGCCAAGTGGATACTTACCTTCTCAAAGGCCTGGGTCAAAGGTGGTGTCTTTGTCACGCTGATAGAAATGCCAAAACTTTCCCAGAAATCTGCATTAAACTGCAGCCTTGTGCACCCCCTGGTACCATCGCTATCCCATGGACTGTTAGTAAGTGCCCATTGGAATGCCCAGGAAACTCCATCTAAAGCATCTGGTCACCTGGTCCATCTCCAAGCACTTAACTAAAAGCGTTACTGGCTTCATGGTGAGCGAAATGCAGGTCTCCATGTTTGTTTAGATTGCAGCTTGTCAAAGTCCATAAATCTGGGCTTCCTAAGGCAGCTCGGGGGCTGTTGGGGTGGCCAGAACAGGGGTGGCCCTGTATTTTCAGAATTGCCTTGGTGGTAAAGAGAAAAGAAGAGCAGGGTACAGTCATGTTGCAGAGAATGCGCTATTCCCATCCTGCCTGGTTCGTCTTACTGGCACATTTTCGATATCCTCTAAAGATTCGCTGGAGCCAGGGGCTTCTGAGTGTGAAAAGATGAACAGATGCAAGGAAGGAGGACTACTGTGCTGCCATCCCTTATGGGAGTCTCTCTCTCTCTCGAATTATAACCTTTGTGGCAAAACAGGGTTTCCTTGTTGGAAAAAAAGACATGAAATCAACATCCAAGTAAATGCTTCTTCCTTCCACCCAAACAAGTGGAAGCCACTTTCGGAATAGCCACTTCAGGAAGCAAACAGCCTTGGATGAAATAACAGGCGGACACGGTCTGTATCCTCCCCTGCGATGAAGCTGCGAACCTCAGGTAGAATGCTGGACCGGGACTTGGCAGCGCTGGGTTCGCACCCCCACTTAGCCATAAAGCTCCTTGTGGCCAACCAGGGACGCTCAGCCAAGCATCCCTCACAGGGCTGTTGTTGTGAGGGTAAAATGGGGAGGACGGGAATCCACTATGCTGCTTTGGGTTCCGTGCAAGAGGAAGAAAGGCAGAGCGATGGGAAAAACCAGAACAAAGAAGCTTCCACACGACACATTCCACATGGAGTTTCCCGCACCTGGCTGTCGGCTGACATGTCGTTACGAGCGACTAGGGCAGAGTAGCACAGACGTGGGAACAATTCAGGGGAAAGCTACTTCGCTGATGGAAAACTGTCCCTCCACAATGTGCTTTGCACGCAACCTTCCTCCTCCTCTCAAGTGCCTCTGTATTTGGAGCGTGAGGGCAAACACAGAAGACGTCGGAGGAGTTGGATCCATCAACCCAGAGGCCACGATGGCATTCCGTATGTCCAGGAAGTTCTCCAGGAAGGGAGTCGTCAGCCTGGTGTTGAAGCTGATGCGGCGAGTGGAGAGGTCACATGAGCTAAAGCTTGCAACCTGTTTGGTTTAAGCTTAAAGTCGCACCCTGGCACATTGGAGCCAGACTCGAACGGGCACCAAGTCTAGCCTGGATGCCACCAGCCCGTTTGGTTCAACACTGGCCAGCCTCTGCCCTGGATGGGCACTCCGCCCTTGGCTCTGCAAAGCTTCAGAGTCTTGCCCAGACCTTGCTGGAGGTACCAGAGTTAAACATGGACCACGCCATGGACCCATCCCAGACTTCCAGTGCTGGGAGCCAACTTGGCGCTCACTGCTGCTCTCAAAAGACCACGAAGACAAAAGAGCAGCTGCAGTATTTATTCATCCTCACAGGATTGCAATACTAAATTTATAAACTTCCATTTATTCTCCAACAAAGAGAGTGGCTACTTTTCGGTCTTCTCAAGTGTTTTTCCCCCGGTCCATTTTCTTCTTAAGGCCGATATTTGTAGAGGTCAAACGTGTGGGCCAAACATTATCCTACCCTTAACGACTACCCTGCGATAGAAGAGGTATCGCCGTTTAAGCTCCAAAAAGACACCGCTAAATATTCTTTCACATCACGTCCTTATAAAGTGAACATCTCAAAATGTGAGTTAAAAAATGGTACTCAGTTGGTAAAGAGCATTCGCATGTCTCCTTGTGCTGGGTTTCTGGTGACCTAGGAGAAATCAGACATGGTAGATAAAAGAACGTGCGCACGTGTGTGATTTGAGAGAGTGAAAACGCTCCATGTGGCGCCCCCTCCTCAGTGTGGCAGCCCCTGCGCATCTTTGTCTTTCCAAGCAGCAAAAGGCCCGCAGAGCAAGCAGAAAGAGGAAAAGATCTTGGCCCCAGCAGGACAGTCGAGCGCTGTGCACCAAAAATGAAGGCGGCCGTGTCTTGTCCCCACCCGCGTGACCGGCTCCAGGCATTCCTTCCGGCGTCTCACATTGTGCACTTCGCTTCCTCACCCTCTCGAAAGAGAAACACGGGCTGCTCCAAAAAGGTCAGAATCAGTGCAACAGAAAACTTAATAGAACCTCTCCTTTAATTTCTTTACAGGAAATAAAGCTTTGTACACCCGCACTTCACCCTTCATACTTTCTTATTTACACAAACACAGTTGTACATAATATAACACATATTGCATGTGTGTGTTGCAACAGGTTGCGTTATATGCATATACTGCACACAGAACGCAGACAGTAAGAAAATACAGGGCTTTTTCTATCACTAAACGTAGGGCAAATGTGTCTTTGATCTCGGGGCCCGACGTGCTCCACACGGCCAAGATCTTCCGTTGCCGAGTCCTTGGCTTACTAGCTCGGGGGAGACACTTCCAGGTGAAGGCTCTGCCTTGTTTTCTGGTTTTCGGGAGCAGAGAGGCGGCACCCCCCTTCGCCGTTCCATCCGGGTCAGGAGTCCATCTCGGCTTGCTCCTGGTGTTCGCTGGATCGCAGCATGAGCTGCTGCTCATAGAAAAGGCTCTTTGCATAGTTGATCTCTTGGCAGAGTTTCACTGCGGGCTCTTCAGCCGTCACGTGGACCTGCGTGGATCAAACCGCACAATGAAAAAGGCGATACACCTCCCTAGTCAGTCCTCACCTGGAGCGCTGTGTCCAGTTCTGGGCACCAAGGTTTAAGAGAGACGCAGGAAGATTAGAAAGGGTCCAGAGGAGGGCAACAGAAACGATCCAGGGTTTGGAAACGATGCCCTGTGAGGAGAGATTGAGGGAACTGGGCATGTTCAGCCTTGAGAAGGGAAGCCTGAGGGGGACCTGAGATCCCTCTACAAGTCCCTCAAAGGCTGTCACAAAGAGGAAGGTCAAGATCTCTCCTTGCTGATCCCAGAGTGCAGGACACGGAATGATCAATTCCAGTTACGACAACCCAGATTCAGGCTGGACATCAGGAAAAGCTTCCTCAATGTCAGAGCGATGCAACAGTGGGACCAGCTGCCTGGAGAGGTGGGGGGCGCTCCCAGACTGGAGGCATTCAGAAAGAAACTGGACAGCCATCTTGAGTGGGATGGTGTCCTGCAATAGCAGGGGGTTGGACTCGATGGTCTCCGTGGCCCCTTCCTACTCTACTATTCTACGATTCTATCACGTCTGGAAGCAAATTAACTCCTTAAGCAAAAGTAACAAGCACTGCCAGAGATGAGTCATCAACTTATTATCTGATTGTGAGGACTAAACCTTAAAAGATGGCTGGGTGTCCTCTTATCAGTGGGTCCATTTGGGTTTTAAGGTGGTTGTAGGTGGCAGGATGGTTCGGGGCTCTCCTCTGACTAGAAGCCGGGAGGCCACCAATGGCAACACTCGCTCAACACTGCAGAACCATCGGTGCTGCTTTTGGAGTCGGCATGGTGGGGTGGTGAGTGCTGGACTGGGGACCGGGGAGATTGGGGTTCGAGTCCCCAGTCAGCCATGGAGCTCCCTGGGTGGCTTGGGGCCAGTCACGCACTCTCAGCCCAACCTCCCTCGAAGGGTTACATGGAGCTGAGGGCTATGTAAGCTGCATGGCATTTCCCACAAGGGAAAAACAAGTGGGATATAAATGCAGTGTACAATTGATGCATTAGGTTTCTTCATAAAAAGCTTCAACACCTACAGCAAAAATAGTGAGGGCGAACCCCCGTTTGTCCATGATCAGGGATCAGGACAAACCGCGGTTAATCAGAAATGGAAGTGAAAACAGAAAAAGAACGAGAGACGTTTGCTCCTACCTTAGAATGAAGGAATAGGGTTCCTGCTAAACATAAACTCAGCCCAGGTTTTTCCTTTTTTTGGCTGCTGTACTAGAACTGACTCAACTACCCTACCCACAAATCCACCACTGATTTCTTCCAAGCTACACCAATTCTGGCACCTTCATTCTGAATGGGAAAAGGCCTTTCTATTGTTATATTGTGGGGTAACTGGGAGTCAAGAGGTACCTGCAGATTCACCCCTGGAACCCAACCTGTGTTTTGCCCACAGAGGTGAGAAGGGACCTGATCAGGGCCTGCTGGTAAACCTCTGGAAGCTTCAAAGTAGACTGGCGGGTTACCAACTCCCAATCGCTTCCCGACGGAAGCAAACTGACTCCGCCAACCCAGCCCTGATGCTCCAAGTTGTGATTCTGGGGACTGGGACTCAGTGGTAGTTCTGTCTGACTCCTGAAGTCTGCTGGCTATTGGAAAACTACTGTGAATGTTGCTTTTTAAATAGTTGCTTCTAATTCACTGCACAAGCTAGGTGCTATGCCCGAAGGGGGAAGGCCTCTTGCTTTGTCTCCCGGATCAGAACCCGGAGAGACCCCAAAGAATTTTCCTTGCAAACAGAAGAAAAGCCACTTCCAAGCAAAGCCCTCTTCCCTCTGCACAGAGCAACAACCGGAGAGCACTGGAGCTCGAGCTGCGTCCATGCCTTACCATGGGCTTCTGATGGGACGGGCCCGGCATGGACACGCCACTGCTTGAATTCACGGCCTTCTTGGTCAGCTGCACGTAGACCTTCCCGTGGTCTTTTGAGATAAGGCAATGGTAGAGGTCTTCGTATTTCACCTCCAGGAAGATGGCCTCCCGGTCCATGTACTCCGCACTCTTCAGGAAATAAACGGCTTTGGACGAGATGATGACGCAGAAGCTCTCTATGTTCTCCACTGCGATGAAGCTGCAAAAGTCAGGAAGCCTGGCCTGAAGCTGTGAGCGCCTGACACCACGTTCCAGGGTGCAGGGGAGCAGCGAAGAGGTAGGATAAGATATAAAGAGGAAAGAGAAGGGGACCGGGCAGAACAAGGGATTGGAAGGCTGGACGGGACCCTGGCAAGTGAAGATAGCGCGTTGGGAGCAGGATTCGGCTGATCCTTGACGGGGGCCTGGCCATAAAACAGCTCACCAGCTCACCTAGTTGCTTGCCCAGTCTGAGTACATGCTCAGTCCAGAGCAGAGCAAACTTGCGTAGGCAAGAACGAGTTCCAGCTCCGCACCCACTGATAGCACCTTTGGGGTCTTCCATGCCTAGACCCGTGTGATTGCCCAAATCAGCTGGATTAACTATGCTAGGCTGTTCACCTTCTCCCATATACCCTAGAGATCCCAGGATCGAGCCATCTGGAATCTGGAAGGGCGTACACTCCAGCTACTTAGCTCAGAGGAAGACGGCTGAAGGGTGCCTTTGAAAGCACGGCATGGCCCAGCTCCCTCTTCTTAAACATGCTTGCAAGCAGAACTCCGAGTTCAATGGGGCTGATTTCCAAGGAAGCCTGCCCAGGACTGCCGACTAGCACCTGAATCCTGTGTGCGTGCGTGCGTGCGTGTGTGTGTGCGCGTGCGCACGTGCTTGGAAGCTGGCTGCAAGTCTGCATATGGTTACCCTGGAAGTAAGCCGTGCTGAAAAACAACGGGATTCACTTCCTGGAAAATATGCCCAGGCTTGGTGCTGGGTGTCGGTTGCGGTAAAAGGGGCGCACTTCCAGGCAGTGGGAGATGTTGTCAGCTTGGCTAAGCCGCTCGGGCACGGTGCAGAGAGGGAGCCCTCGGAGTGCAAGCGCGGCCCAGCAGAACTGTTTGTCGGAAAATCCTGTTTTGTGCTGGGCCTGAGTCACACATCGCGGCTCGTTCCCGCTTCCTGACATGCCTCTTTCCCTCCAGAATCGGCTGCCAAACCTTCCCGTGAACCTTGAAAACTCGCTGTGCAGCACGCCTCCCTCCCCACCCTCCCCAAAGCCCTACATTTTGGAATTGCTAACACATAGCAATACAAAAAAACAGAGACAGAAAAACAAAAACACCGAAAACCAAAACACGGTCCCACAGAACAAAGCAGAAGCAGCACGATCTCTGGAGGATTTATGGCGTGATGCTCCTCCACCTCTTCTCCCACCCCTCCAACATCAGGAAGCAATTTAATTACACAACAATGTTTTCCAGAAGTGAAACAGTGGACTTAGCTGGAAAAAAATGTGGAAACATTTAGCTGGAACAGTAGAGCAAGGTATTAAAGCTTTCTTTTATGGATTTATTCTGAAGAAAATATGCAGAGCATTAGGGATTTCAATCATTGCTGGAGGCACCGTGGCGGCGGTGGAAGGTGCGGGGGGGCTGCGGGTTTGCTCTGGGTCCCACGACAAGAGCCGCCACTGCCTGCGTGGCTGCGGTGACCGAGGGCGAACGCTCTGACGAATGGGCAATTTAGACCAGTGAAATGGGAGTACCTGGTGCTGATTTCAATTGTCTGGGGTGGAGGGGAGAGGAAAACCATGTGCTCGGAAACGCAAGCCAGTGAGAAGTGGAAGAGGTGGTGGGAAGCAGCGAGAGACGCCTGGCTTCGGAGGTGTGCTCTCCCACGGAGCTGCTGCGCCCGGCATCCGAGGAGGGCGACGCCGAGTGCGCTGGGGGTCCCCTGACAGCTGTGGGCAGCCCACTGGGGAACTGGGGACGCTGTGGGGGCGACCCCCACAAAATGGCTGCCAGCAGAGACGCTGCTTCGGGGACGCGGTGTGGGGCCCGGCAAGTCTGTAGGGGTGCATCACATGCCCGTGTGGGGTGGGGGCAGAAATAGTAATGCTAGAGGCTGGGAGGGAGGGGGAATGGAGCAAACTGCTTTGCTCCCCTCCCCCCCCTTTACAGGCTTCTTTGGTCACACAGAACCTCCCCTTTGGCGGCCTCCCTCTGTCCCCTCTCTTCACTTCGCGTTTCCATCCTGCACAGTCCCAGCCATGCTCGTCCTCACCCTTCTCCCGCACTGCTTCGGCCAGCGCCCCCCCCCCGCAACCCCCCGCCTCGTTTTCTTGCCCTGCCTGCCGAGGGAGAGCCTGGCACGAGGGGGGTGCGAGGAAGCCACTGCAGGATGGATTCCCGGCAGCGCGGCTCCCCAGAGTCTGACCTGCGTTCTCACGGCACCGGGTCCCACCCAGCGCTGGGCACGCCAAGCACCTGCAGGGTGCCCACCGGGGACTGGGCAGGCCCACCGGCAGCATCCTTCTCCCGTGCCCGCGGCTTGCTGGAGGAAGGGTGCCGGGTAGCACGAAGGGGGTTCTGCCAGCATTTGCAGGCTTTCGCTTGGCTCGGTCCGCTTCCTGAGCCAGGGCCGAGCACGAGAGAGAAGCCTGATGAGCGGAAGTGGGCTGGACTCCATGGAGGCGCCACAACCTCCCCCACACCCTAACGGCTTCCAGTGTGTTATGAAATGTGTCTGTGGAGGGAGGCACGGAAGGCAGGCCTGCAAGGGTCCACTGGGGCGGCCTGTGGGATCCATGGGGTCGTGGGGGGGAGCCTGGTCCCTTCCCCAGGGCTTGCTGAAGCCCAACCGGCGCTTCAGGGCGCCTGCACGTGCTCACCGTGCGCCCCGGCTTTGGCTACGGCCCTTCTCCAAGGGGCCAGTCCCTCTTTGCGCAGCCTCAACTGCTGCGTGAGCTTCAGGGAAAAAAATGGGCCGGGACACCAGTGGTGCTTTGAGCAGCACTGGACTTCCCCCCAGTATCAGGAACTCAAGCCGGAGGGTGCAAGTATTTTATCCCCAAGGTTTGGTCTTCGTGTGGTGCTTCCGAGAAGGCACATGCCCTCGCAGCTCAGTACTCCTGACACAGAGAAACAGAGCGAGTCAGAAGGGGTCTCCCGGGCCACCTAGTCTGACCCCCGGCTCTGGCCAGCTCTGCTCTTGACATGCCTACCCGTGAGCTTGCCACACGCCACACGGCGAGCTTGCCAGTCACACGGCACGTGAACCGTGTCATGTCCAGGTGTACCTCCTCAGTTGGGACAGGGAGGAGGGTTCCTAGGCTCTCAGTCCAGCCAGGTGACGACCCCCACAGACTGAGACACAGCAGAAGGGAAGGAGGCAGGCATGTGATTCCTTGTTTCCTGCCTGTTTCATTGCATTTTTAAGCCAAAATGTACCAGTAGATGGTCCAAGGGAAAGTGCCTTAAGGCACCACCCTCACAAATTTAGGCAGAAAAAAGGCTGTCCCATGCTGGGAGGCTTGTTCCCTGTCTAAACTTCCACAGGACTGCATGCTGAACGGTTATAACCTGCCTTTTGGTCATGGATACTTTAGATAGGAAAAGGAAGGAGGACTGGAACAGAAAGAAAGAAACAAACAGCCAATTCAAGCTTGGAATAGGTATCAAAGCATTGGAAGGACACAGGGTTAATTTCCTTGAATTTGTTTCCACCTCGGGAAGATAAGGACAATGACAATGTCAGAATGAGAATCAGTTCAGTGCAGGGTCACGAGGATGGCAGCTGGGGGATGCCATATGCAGTGAGAGCGCTGGGTCTTTTCAGCCCGGAGAAGAGGAGACTGGGAGGGGATCTCACAGGGACTTAGAGGCATGTGAAGGGGTGTCACACAGGGGAGGGTCATGACCTGATCTCACCTGCGGTGGAGGGAAGGACGTGCTCCAATGGGGAAAAGCTCAAGGAACCGGGCTTCAGGTTGGGTGTCAGGAAGTACCTTCCTGATGGTGAGGACCCCGAGGGTATGGAATGGGCTTCCACAGGAGGTGGAGGAGGCCCCATCGGTGAGGCCCCATTCGGTGTTCAAAGAAAGACTGGAGAGCCGCATGTTGGAGATTACATGAGCAGAGCCGACTGGAGCTGGGGATCAGAATGGATGGCTTGGCAGGCCCCTTCTGACTCACTATGCTTCGATGTTTCTATGTGTCAAGTCAAGCTAACCCGCTGGGAGACTTCCTAAGAGAAATGAGAGGGGCGTGAGAGCAGAGGTGAATCGTGCCACAGGGCCTGTGGCTTCTGGATGGCAAACGACAGGCCGGTGGATCGGGAGAATTGAAAGAAAGAGACGCTCGCAATGACATGGGAGGAAAAAGAGGACGGAACGCCAAGTGAGGGTGGGCTTGTCCCATGATGTGCCGAAGCGGATGCCGAACGCCACCGGCTCGGTACTTACAATTCGTCCTGAATGCTGTCCGTCAGCTTGAACATCAGCTCCTGCCCTTCGGCCTGGGTCTCGGAGTAGCGAGGCAGAAGCCCCTGGGGGCCTGCGCAGCACCGCGGCCTCCTCACCCTCTCGGGCGTCCTGTCGATTAGAACACATTAGATGGCGCAAGCAGCTCGGGGAGGGGACTGCGCAGGCCGTGCCTGAGGTTGTGAGGAAGGTGGGACGCGCTGCCTTGGACTCCCAGCGTGCCCCGGGGGTGGGCAAACACCGGCGGAACCCGACGGAATTCAAGCAGAGCCAGCTGGGGTGGGCCGAGCCGAAGAACTGCATGTGAGGGGTGCCCATCGCGGAGCCGCGCTCCTTGCGGCATCCCAGCCCCCGGGAGGAACAGGGCGCCGTGCACCAAGCCTGGGGTCATTGCGGCAGGAAGCCTGAGGCACGAAAGCACCCCTCCATGGCGAGGCCCAGTTAGACTCACTGGCTTTCTCTCCTACACGGCCCCCCCTTTCTAGCCAACACGTGCCGCGGCGGCACAGGAAGAAGGCCTTGCCGTGGGGAGAAACTGGAGGCGTGGAGCGTGCCTCAGCTTTCCAAGAAAGCGCCTTGACCCATGGATGGCAGAGCACGGCGCCCCACCTCCCCGGGGGCTGGAGCCAGCCCCAGCCAAGCAGCCCGCCTGGCCTTGCACTTCAGCGTGTGGCATTCCCTGGACTCCACGCAAGCTTTTGTCTGGCGCTACCTGGCCCTGTTGTACATCTGCGCTTCCCTTGCAAGGCTGCCGAAGCGATCTGGAAGACCCCCTTGGTGCAGGACTGGCGCGCCAATCGTGTTCTCGGCAAGTGAGGCCCCCGCCCCGGCCCACCCCCCTCTTTCTGCGGACTGAACTGCTGTTGGTGGTTTGATCTAGAGAGAGGCAAACAATCCCGCACTGTACTAGAGTTTTCTGCTTAAGCCTCTTGGCAACAGCACACAAAACCGACGGGCCCGCTGCAGATGTTTTCTCCAGAGGCTCGTTTCCTCCCCCCTCCCTCTGCGCTGCCCCCCACCCCCCCGCCCCAGCAACACCGATCCTGACTAGGAAGCACAGACCTTCTTTCTTTCATCCACCTTTCCCACTGGCTACATCTACAGGAGCAATTCAAACATCACCTTCCAAGCCGCCTTTCTCCCTGGCTTCCTTTCCCGCAGAGCTGCTTCACTAGGTCCCTGTGGGGCCCACTGTGAGCTGCTCAAATGTCCGAACAGTCAAGGTGGTGCTGTGGCCAGTGCTGTCCGCAACCAGGTGGCACAACCCCAGAACGGGTCATCCTGCTGCAGCCTGGGGGCATACCTGGTCGTGCAAACCAGCCATGAGTGCGCACAGGTGGATCGAGAAGCAGCGGCGCGTGCTCAAGAAACGCAAGTTTTACGACAGAGAAAGCCGATCTCTGTAATGTGCACCATTCAGTCGGACTGACACGGTTGGTATTGCGCTTCACCTGTCGTACAGGCGGAAGAGCTGCCCCTGGAATCCGAAGGCCAAGGTCACGCATGCAGCCGAAGGAAGCTTTGGGGCAGCGGGGAGAGGCTGCTTCTGAATACCCACCCAGTAAAGCAGCGCTTGCAAGTGAACAAGCACTCAAAAGCTTGTGGAGACCTATCACCCGATCAGCCGTGTGCAAGCGCTGGAAGTCAGGCCTTCCGTCCCACGCCAGGATTTGAACCTGGAACCATGAGGGATCAGCTCCTGATCTGACATTTAGCCGAAAGAGAGAACTACCCTTTTATTCCCGCTTTCGTCCTTTTATCCTCCACCCATGAAGTGGCTTTGATTAAAAGCGGGTGACTGGTCCAGCAAGCTTCACAGCCAACTTGGCAAAACCAGCCCTTTGCTATGTTATCGCAGCAGCATCTTCTCCCAGAAAGTCACACACGCAACAGATAATTTTCTCATGGAAGAATTGGCGTCTAAAAACAGCCACCAACCCAAAGCAGCCATTTCGAAAGACAATGAGCTGATATTACAACTGGGAGGGCTCCAATCACCTCCTTCAGCAATGAGTCCCATAATGCAATCAATCTAGAGATGTGTGTGTGTGTGTGAGGGAGGGAGGAATCAAGGAGCTCGCATCTGCTTGAACACCAATGATGTGCCTTCATTTAGAGAATGGAATGAAAGACTAGGTGCGTTTGCTCTCGTCGACAATAAACAGAAGGGACACTCGTGCTCCCATTCAGCACAGGAGAACATCCTGTAGAGAAGTCTTACAAAGCCACGTCCCTCTCGCTGGGTGGCCCTTTCTCCTGCAGAGTTCACAGCACTGGATCAAAATCAAGATGGCAGTCTGGGTAGCCACCTTGCAGACTTCTTCCGAACAGGTAAGAAAGGCAGCTGAGGTGGCATCCCACGACACGCTGTCCACGGCCACTCCTGTTCTCATGCGCCGATTTTGAGACATTATGGCACAAACTTGACACCGTCTGCTCAGGCCTTCTAAGAGTGGTGCAGCTAGGGCTAGATGTTGGGGCCAAGGCCCAGCCCAGAAGCCAGCTTTTTAGGAACTGGCTAAGTTCCTCCTCCGGGGAAGGCAAGTGGCAAGTGGAACTGGCAAAACTCTTCTGCCAGCTTCCAAGAATGGCATGATTGGCCGGTTCCTGGGCAAACTAATCAAATGCGCTTTGCTCATCCACTGGCTGAGTTTTCACCCCTGCTGCAGCAACCTCCATTCAAAAGGTGCACTGTTTCTTACTTCTCTGCTGCCCTTTCTTTCGGTGATGCTCAACCTGGCAACAAGGAGGTCAACTACCTTCTCTAAATTATGTCCCGCTGGTGCTAACATGAATAGCACTAATTGGCGCCGGCCACCAGCTTTTGGCAAACTGGGCTGTTTGGTCTGGACAGCAAGCAGCATTCCACACCACTTGATTCTTCTGCTCCTTCTTCGTCGCCGTTGTCTTCTTTTTAATCTACAATTTGCTCCGATGTCTCAAGTTACATTCTGTAAATAACAAGCAACGCTGATGCAATTCCAAACGCTGAAAATCTGCAAAGCGGCATGCATGGTGGTGTGCCCACATCTGTGTTACATTAAACTCAACTCAACACTCCAACACGCTCCCTGATTTGCTTTTAATAGGCACACAAAAAGCAAGACGAGGGAGAGATGCCCTCGTGCCTGTCCATCGCAGCAGGGAGGAGCGGTGCTGAATGCAGGCCTGGAGAGACGGGAATGGCGTCCGGGCAGCTGAGCAGCGCGGGAGAGAGCACCAATGTTCAGGCCACGGTGGGCATCCGAGCGGCCTTGCTCCGAAAACGGTCGCAGAGCAAAAGTGCTTCCGTTATTCGCCTCGTGGAAGAAGCAAGTTATTTAAACAAGCCCTGATGCACTGGGGCTACCAGAGTTTCAGTGGCCACAGCCTTATCAGCTGAGTCAGTCTGTGCCGTGCCGGAGGGCTTTGGTCCGTACTGCTTGATGGTCTTCCTCAGAGGCTGTTCTCTGCGGGGATGCAGCTGGGCGCCTGTACTAAGGTGGATGGCACAGTGGCGGCACGGTGGCTGCATTGTGGCACATGCAGGCCGGTGGCAAAGACGGGAGAATGAATGATTTCACAGGCAAAGTGTTCCTGGTACGTCAGAAGAAGACGGCCAGGCCAATGAGCTCCAGAACCTGAATAACGCTTGTAGGTCATCCAGAATCAATTCAGAACAAGGCGTGTGAGAATCATGGCACTGCAATAAAGATATGTTACAGAGGGTGTTCAAAGATAGGCTAGACATGCACGTGGTGAGCATGTTGTGAGTGGAGCCGGCTGGAGCTGGGGTCAGACTAGATGGCCCGGGAGACCCCTTCTGACTCGCTCTGTTTCTATGTTTCTACACGACACCAAAGTGTTCCTTGCTTAATAGGTTCAGATAGATATGGACTGTGGCTAATCTTTAACTTGAGACAGAACAACTTCCATTCTTCATTCCGGAGACAACATTCGAAGTATGGCTATTAGGCAGGACCAGTACGGCTAAGTCTGGCTTTTTCTGTTCAGTCTTCAAAGATAGGGACGAAAGCAATTTTTGAATGCTGAAAAGCGTGATTGACTGCCAGAATGGACACCCTGGTTGGCCAGTTCTTTGTGACAATGGCTGGCAACTCAGGCATCCAACCAAGTCTGACTTAATATTTGAAAAACTGAACAACTTCCAAGTGAGACAGAACATCAAAACTGAAAGGCATCTGTAATCTATGGGATTCTGTATGGTTAACTGAGATTTCTCCAAACCCAGTCTTGCAGCATCAATTCAAAGCTAGGAAGATCGGGAAAAGTTTTCTGGTAGACACAGGTGCCTCTGTTTTGTCCCTCTGAGAGACAAAAGAACGTGGGAAAGAATTAAAGAGACTCCAGCCACCATGTGCCAGTGCATCTCCCCTGATGCCCATTGCATCCTACAGGAAGGTTGGTGCTACTACTGGGAGTATTCTGCCTCTTGCCCACTCTCCTGAGTAAGTATGAATTCAGTTCAGGCTCTTGCAGACAAGGCCTAAACCGCCTGGATGAATAATCTATGACTGAATTTAACTTAATAATAATAAACACTTGACTAGGAAGCAATTTTTCTGTGACTGTTGATGTTTCTGAGAAACTTAACCCTATCTTCGTGTACACACTACCCTACATTTGCGAAATCTTTCACCTGGAAGTAGGCACTGGAAGTTTACGGTGCTTTGGGGAATTGTACAGATGCGATAAAGCTGAAATGCTGAAAAATCTTGAACTTTAGTCCAACAAGCTTAGGAGGATTTTCCCAATTTTTCTCAAATGAAAGCCGGGATTCTCTGCAGTCGGTTTCTAGTTGCAAACACACTTGATACCATCCAAGTTCTTGCAGAAGAGTGGCACCATGCCCACTTATATCTTACTCAAAGACAAGTTTGCAATGGGAAAAACAAGACAGTCAGAAAATAATGTGTATGTTTTGTGGAACAGCATGCAAATGTACCATGCTGCTGTAAAGGGATTTACCCTGCCAGTTTTAATAACTGCTGTTTAGTTTTCAGTTGCAATTATTTTACACGCATGCAAAACTAGTCCAGAGAACAAGAAGAAGAAAAAAACAAGCAAACAAAAACCAATCAAACAATCATTTCTGCGGGTGCCAGACAGAAAAATTCTCTGTGTGTGATCTGTACAAACAAAACCTGTCTTTCTGGTAAGAAACCTGAAAGTTACCCAGAGAAAAGGGTTATTTGAAAAGAAAGGAGGAGACAGGCAAATGAGAAGAACTGCCACAGTTTGACGAGACTCGGCACAACCTGTGTGGCTTCATTTTTCCTGCAATACGTTTTTGTCTTTTAGACTGGGCTGTCAGATTTCCCACCTATCCTATTCGCGCCTTGATTAAGAGACTGTCTGGAGTTGCTCACTAGTGAGGAAGGGCACTCTGCATATGCTTGGATGCACTGTGTTCTTTAAACAGCAGCACTTATTTAGACGGGCTGCACTCTGGTATTCAACACAGACCTGACCGGCTGGAGAAACAATGCTTAACTCTGCCATTATGAATCGAAAGCCACATTGTGAAGATATGCACTGAAAAGTGGGATTAAAAATCCATCAAATGTACATCTAAAGAACGACTCTCTTTGGAACCAAAAGCTGTCTGTCTGGCCTCTGAGCTTCTCACTGCCCCAAAGTAAGGGGACCATATCAGATGAAATCTTCACTTATCTGCCTTCCTGCTCTTGTCCTCACTCTTTGAGGTCCTAAATTCCATCTTTATCCTGCCTTGGACTTGTTCCAAGCCATGTTCCTTATCCCTTCCTCTGTGAAGCTTTTTTCTAAATCCGAGAAGAAGCAGCCGTTACTTCCTGTAACCACCGCATGACCTCCGGAGAGAAATGTGAATGTCTGGAGACCTTCCTCCGGATTCCATTTTGGCACTCAGAACATGCAGACAAGGAGCTTTCGCCCTCGGGCCAGTTTTTCCCTCCTCCTGAGCTTTTTATTCCGTCTTGCCTGAGGAAGATTCCTGCACATTTTAATGGCCTTCAGTTGTCCTTAATGTGGATTCTGCAACTTTTCTTATGCTCACCTTTGCTTTTCTGCATCTTTGGCAGCATTTATAATGGGGAAATACTTGCCTGCTGCGCCTCTTCCATCTGCATCAATGCTTTTTTACTTTGCAAATTATCAAAAGAATAAAAGGAATTCTATTTTTAACAATAGTTGAGGCAGTAGATGTGGTTCTAGTTGTTCCATTTCCAGTGCAAAGAACTCTGTATAAGTGTACTTTTGTTTAAAAAAATATATAACGATGAGGCATCTCACTGGTTGAAAACACACTGGCTTGAATTAAATTCTTTTGGCTAGCACCTCTGAGAAATGTTTTCTCTTTCCGCATCTCTTCCAAGCTCTAGAGAGCCACTGTGCAAAGTGGGCAATAAAGATTGGGCCAAAGATCTGGTACAGTATGGCTCGGGGCCCCAGTAGCTGAAGGACCGCATCTCCATGTCCAAGTCCTTCCAGTTCCTGAGAACAGTGGTCTTTTCCCTCCGTCTGCACCTTCTGGCAGCTTGGGAATGGTTCTTTTCTGTGATAACTAAAGGAACTCAAAGAAGCCAGGCTGTCATGAGCACGTCCATCCTTCTGGCCGTACCAACTTCCCCAGGCATTTGGACAGACATGACAGCCCCACTGCTTTTGTGGAGTTCATTCTAGGTTGTGATTTTTGTGTGGACTGGATGGCTAACTTTTAGTGTCTCGCTGCTTTCGGATTTTTGCCCTGGTGATGCAGCGACCAGAACTTGTGCTGAAGTGGGTCTTTTTTGCTGTTCTATTCTTTATGGATTTCTGTATGTGTGTGGGGTTAAGTCAGGACGGCTCTTTGTGGCGAGAAGCGATTAAATGTTAACAATAATACCAATGCAGAAGGCATTCACCGCCGTTTCGATGCTCCTGCTCCGTTGGTTAGCACCGACAGGGGACATCTGATACTCCCGACGTGTGGTGTGTGGTGCGTCTTAGCAAACAAACAGTGAGCGACTAGAAACCTCTTTGTGTGAAAGCGTTCCCTGCAGCAACGGGGTCCGGGGACCGCAGCATGCAGGGGCTGGGAGCGAGCTGAGCAGCCACTCCGTGATCAGGGCCGTGAGGGGCCAAGAGAAGAACAAGGGGGGCGTCGATCCCGACCGGAAGGCTTGCCCAGCGTACACAGAGCGCTGCCAAGCGCACAACGCGTCACACTTTCTTATCCAGAGAGAACGGCTTCGGGATGGCAAGCCATGCGTGTGCCTGCGCCCTCTGAACACCCTGTTCCCTCTTGCCGGCCTGAGCGCAACCCCCGAGCACCTCCCCAGGATGGGCCAGCGAGCAGAAATGTCTATTTTTAGCCACCGCGACAGAACCAAATGCATCGTGCCGCCTACACAAGTAAAGTATTCCAAAGCAATTCACATGCACCCTCTCTGATGACTCACGGTCCCACGGCGCTGCCATAATTAATCCTGCAAACCTGCCTGGGAAATGAAGCTCTGAATCCAGAGATTGCCGTTCCCTTCTTCATCTCTAACATGACTCATGTCAGACCCAGAAAGTTCCCCTAATGGGAGTGGATGCTGCTTTTCCTTCGCTACCTTGTCCAGGGCCTGCACAATCTATCTATCTACAGGCCACTGAATAACTCGGCATGGCTCTCTTGAGCGCTGTACAACAACAATAAAATATAAGACAAAACATTACATTACCGTGCAGTCATTAAAAACAAAAATGGTTTCACAGGCTCCTTGGACATTCCTAAAGTGGAATTGCTGACACTCCAAGAAGATAGGGGATGGGAGCGTGGATTGGCGACGGCCACCACCAAGAGTTGGGCCCACCCAACTGGGGCCTTTCCAGTCCGGGTGGGCAGCACTGCCCTGCGAGGAGAGAACTGGGCAAGTTCAGCCTTGAGAAAGGGAGACTGGGGGTGGGGGGATGAGATCCCTCTATCAGTGCCCCAAAGGCTGTCACAAAGAGGAAGGTCGCGATCTCTTCTCGCTGATGCCAGAGGGTGGGAGATGGAAGAATCAGCTCAAGTTGCGCCAACCCAGATTCAAGCTGGCCATCAGGAAAAGCTTCCTCGCTGTCGGAGCAAGAAGAGAGTGGGACCAGCTGCCTGGAGGGGTGGGGGGCTCTCCCACACTGGAGGCATTCCAAAAGAAACTGGACAGTCCTCTGACTGGGACGGGGTGCCCTGGTGTCCTGCCACAGCAGGGGGCTGGACCTGATGGCCTCTGTGGCTCCTTCCAGCTCTTCTATCGTAAGGTGCCAAGGGCATTCGTGTATAGCTCAGCCTTTCCTGAGACCATACGGGGCTCCGGAGCCCCTTGCCCAGTTCCCCTTGCAGTATGACAAGCTTCCAAGACCTGGCTGGCCCCTGCGCGAGTGGAGAAGCAGCCAATGGCAATCGATTTAACCCTGCTTCCTAAGTCAGCTTTCCTTTACAGAAAAGACTCAGAAGCAATAGTAATAGCAACAATAGTAATAATTGCAGGTTTGCCTTTTTAATGGCGATGCGGCTGTTTCTTCGCGAGAACAGTATACATTACATGCAGTGTGAGAGGGGTTAAATAGGACAGCCTCAACTCTTGCTAAACTTTTGCCCTCTGGATATGTACTCATTGGCTGCTGTACAAAACTCGAGCAGTATTACATGCCTTAACGATATGGTTCAACTGCCGGTCAGGCCCGGGGTCTGGCGTTACGCCAGACCGCAATCAATGGGACGCAAGCCTCCCCCCTTTCAGATCATCACGAAGGTTCAGATTATCTCCTTTTTGTCGTGCTGGTTAAATTTATGGAGCAGAACCCTGAAGCAGCATTCCTTGGCTTGGGCCGGCCCACGCGGGCCTCCCTTTGTTTGGTACTGTAAGCGAGACGTGCTTTGGAGGATTGCAAGGTTGTTAGTTCAGGGACTGGCTGTTTGCTCATGACTGAAATGAAGAGAGTTCAGGGGAAGGGCAAAAGGACAGCCCAAGTGTAAGCCCCTTCCCAGCAGGCCCCGAGCTCCAGGGCCGTCGAGGCTGCGCGCTGACCCCCCTCCCTGTGCGAAAGGCCAGATCAGACGCTAGGAGCTGATAAACCAGCCCCGGTGCCCTTCCTCTCGCAGGCATACCAGAGATAACGCTCCGAAAGGGCTGTTTGCGAGGGTGTGTGGAGACGGCGTCGCGCACGTTACGGTGAAGCACCTGAACGGGCTTTCCCACGAGAGCAAAGGCAACGCTGGCGGAATTGCACGAGCGTCCCAGCAACAGGACATGACTCCTTCTCTCTCCATGTTTGGTCATCACAAACACCTCTCGGGGGGATGAAGCTCCTTCAGTGCTGCACCATCCGGACAGCCCTATTTAGCCGGCGGCTGGCTTCTCGCTTGAGATCACTGGCAGGTGTGACATGAGCACCCCGTTTCAGACACGCTCTGTGACGTGCAATCTTCCTTCTGACTAAAAGAATGGCGGAAATAAATGGAACTGAAGGCAAGATGTCTGTGGATATTTGTAATAGAGAGTGTGACAGGGGAGGAGAGAGAAGGCAGACGGGTGTGTGCTCTTCGAGTTAGCTATCCGGTGTACTTAAATAACCCCCCTTTTCTGCTGAACAAGCATGTGCTTCAAAATCAACTGGAAAATGAGTGCATAAGGAGGGGGAAGCAGAGAAAATGACCCAGAATGACGAGCAAAACCAAGACCAGACAAGCACCCCTGAAACCACGGGCGGGAGCCCTGTCCCCTCCCCTGCACCCAGAAGTTTCAGTTAACGAAACCCCTTCAGCCACAGGCTCCTCCGCACTTCACCCACGGCCCTCTGATCAGGGTTGGGCTAAAAGGGCCAGACCCATATAAGGAGGCAACGCAAGGAGCCCAGCAAGGCGTCTGAGTTGTGGCGGGGTGATGAAGTGTCGGAGACAAACGAGTTAAGCACCTGTGTTGAGTGCAGCAACGGGGTCAGTGCAGCCAACTGTTCCCTTCCTACTCGTGGTGACTGTAAATAAAAATCTAGAAATAAACACCAATAACTATTAATACATTCCTGACCTTCTCCTTGTAAGCTACTTCATCTCCAGGTAAACAAACTCCGTAACTGCAATAAATAGGTGGCTGTGAAGGTACAAAGCCAGGCCGGGGGCTCTCCAGGACACTGATGAAGTACCGCATGCATTGCTAGCTGGGCAGAAGCTGTGAGCGTGTGCCCGCGTAATGAGCGCTTGGGTTTCGGCGAACAAACTCACTGCTGACCTGCAGCAGCTACAAGAGGCAGAGAAGCTGCGGATGCGGAACGAATGCACTGTTCTTTGCTGTCACAGAGAACGGGCATCCTGGCGAAAAGGGGAACCATTCTGCGGTCAAGGGAAATGTTCCCTAGGAGGGACCCATCCCCTGGAAGGTGAGCAAACAGCCCCTGGCCCAAGGGTGCACCTCGGACGGCACCAAGGTTTGTGACGGTGGCAGATGGGCACCGGGCACCTACACAGGTGGGGTTGTGATGTGACTGCGGACTGGATGGTACTTTGTTCACCTGGCGCAAAGGCTACAGATATATAGTACATTGTTCACCTGGAGCAAAGGCCCCATCGGTGAGGGTGTCCAAGGATAGGCTGGACATGCACATGGTGGGCATGTTGTGAGTGGAGCCGGCTGGAGCCGGGGGTCAGACTAGATGGGCCGGGAGACCCCGTCTGACTCGCTATGTTTCTGTGATATGATGTGCCATCTGGATAGCTCTGTAGAGAATTCTGGGAAGGAGCTGGTGGTGATGGCCCATCTTGGTACCAGTGACGTGGGGGAATGCGGTTGTGAGGTCCCGGAAGCCACATTTAGATTGCTGGGTCGAAGGACAAAAGCCAGAACCGTCAGTGTGGCTTCTTTTGAAATGCTGCGCGTTCCATGCACGGGGCCAGCCAGACAGGCACTGTTGCTGCAGGTTTTAGTTTTATTGAACAGAGGATAAGGCAATGGTGTAGCGAGGAGAGATCCCAATTTGTTAGCACTGGGGAACATTTTGGGACAAGCTGGCCTGATCAGGAAGGATGGGCTCCACTTGAGCCAGTATGGAACCAGACTGCTGGCGCTAACCTTAAGCAGGTGGCAGAGAGACTGAAACACAGGAGCCCGGGGGAAAGCCAGCAGGAGCTGGGCAGTATCCAGTCTAAACTAAATTATCCCTAGGGCTGGAGAGGGAAAAGGTTCCTGAGTATCCAAATGTCCAGGAGGGGAGGGGGAGAGGCCTCAGTGCCATAGCTGAAGATGGGCCCGCCAGAGGTATCTGGAAAGGGGCATCATGAATGAGTGTTTCTATACGTATGCGAGAAACCTCCAAGCCAAACTGGGAGAGCTGGGGTGCTGGCTTGTGAAGGAAACGGAGCTATAGTGAGCGCTATGGAAGCCAGTGAAGTGGAAAGGGCCAGTGGGAACTCTACAGAAGGGCATATTGGAAGAGGGCAGGCTAGGAAACCTAAAAGGAGCAGCTCTTCCACAGAAGTGCAGAGAGCAACAATAAGAAGTTAATACTAGGAATATTCTCTCCGTTCACAGACTGGAATACTCAGAATGATTTTAAGATGGGAAATGAAATCAGGGGAACTCTGCTTGAAGACATCTTGTAATAATGAGTGACTTCAATTACTCACATATTGACTGGATAAATGCCTGTTCTGGTCATGACCAGGAGGTTAAATTTCTCAATGCTCCAAGTGACGGTGCCCTTGAAAAATTGGTCATGGAGAGGCAGCCAGTGGGAAGGCAACCCTGAATTTAATCCCAAGTGGTGCTTCACAGGATCTCACATGGAATGTGAATGTTGCTGAACCAACTGGAAACAGTGACTCAGTGCTATTGAATTTAATATATATTTAGGTGGAAGATTGCCAGAGGGTTCCAACACAGCCACACTTGACTTCCAAAGAAGAAACTTCTCCAAAATGAGGGAACTGGTAAAAAGGCACGTGAACAGGGAAGTCAGACTGCCTAATGTCTTGAAATGCTTACACAGGAAGGTCATCTAGAATGTATGCCCCAGGCTAGGAAAGGTGGACCAAGCCTTCATCCGAAATGCCAATGAAGCTCCTAGAGAAAAGAAGTCCTACACAAATGAGAAAAATGAAAGGGAACACAAGCTTGCACAAAGGAAGTGTGGCAAATGAGAAGAGATCCAAAAAGCATCTTGAAACACATCTCGGCAAACAATAAGGAACTCTTTAAATACATCAGAAGCAGAAGGCCAGCTAGAGAGATAGAAAGACTTGATGCCAGTTGAGATAAGGGCGTGCTAAAGGAGGAGGCGACGGCTGCAAACAGGCTGGATGGATTCTTTTCATCTGAGCTCACTGTGGAACCTACAGGACACAGACCTGTGCCTGAACCAATGTTTTCAGGAAAGGAATTCAAGTAATGGGAGCAAAGAGTGGTAACGAAGACGAAGTCCTTGACCTCACTGACAAATGGAACGTTAATGAACCCCTGGCTTCATATGGCGTCCATCCAAGGGTTCTTGTAGAGCTTAAATATGATGCTGTTGATCTTTTAGGCATAAACATATGCAACATGTCCCTACCGTCAACCTTATGCTCACTTCCACAGCATGTAGTAATGGCCACCAAACCGGACAGCTTTACCTGGGGAGTGGATACCTTCATGGAGGATAATGTTATCACTGACTACTTCTCCTGATGGCGATATGTCAGCCCTTCTACCAGAGGCAGTATGCCCATGAAGTCCAGTTACTGGGGAACATGGGCAGGAGGGTGTTGTTGCCCCCATGTCTTGCCTTGAGGTTTTCCCAAGTGTAGTGGGAATGGACTGGAGGACCTGGCCTGGCTCTTCATATGTTCTCATGGCTCCCATCAACTCTTGCCGCTGGCTATGGCAGACAGGGCTCCCGGAAGCTGCAACCCAGCAACATCTGGAAGGTCACAAGTCACCTTAAACCACTGTGACTGGTGGCTTTACAGTGATCTGTAGGAACACGCACGGTGCGAGACCAACACAAACGTTTAGGTGACTCAAGCTGGTGTTCAAACAGATCCATCCATGGGAACAGAAAACCCATACCATCCTGCCCATGGGTGGTGTACCTAAAATTGGTTCGAACGTGTGTAGCTGCCAGGTTACCGACTCTTTTCTCCTGACAGAAGTCCCTCTGGCTTGTGTCTTCCCCTTTCATCAATTAAGTGATAGGAAAAGGAGTGGGTGAATCCAATGGGGAAGGCATTTTGCCCTCCGGAGGGGCAGATGGTGTCCACGAGGCCTTTGCCCAAGAACATTTCCCGGAAAACTTTGGATTAAGGGCAGGTTTCGTTGCAATGAGAATTTCTGGCTGAACTCTGCTTGAACCCAGAAGCATATCGCTTATAACAGACATGAACAATAATGTTCTATTACCTGCTTAAGACATGAAGGTTCAAAGCAAGTTCACGTCCTGTCACTATGCCCCCCCCCCCAAAACAAAAAATTTCCCAACCGCTTTCAAAAATTCCTGTTCACACACAAGGAGTGTTAAAAAAAAGTCATCAAAACAAAAATGCCATGCAAATATTAAGAGAAGATTTGCCATGTGTTTTATTCGAGTCCAAGTCCATTTTTGGCTTGGATTGAAGGAAACAGTCAGTCCTGTGCTTTTAAGCTTCGTTTTAAAAATGGAAATTGTAGCAGAAGTACTATGTGGTGGGACTGGGGGAAGGATAAAAAATGAGGGGTCTGCAGTAGCACACTGGTCTCAGGGTTCCCCCACCACAAGCCTAAAGAGGGGAAGAGTCATTGCTGAGCGGGAGGGCAAATATTTTGGCGGAGGTGCCAGGTTTAATGGCGGCTCTTCCTGTAAAATAAAATAAAATAAAATAAAATAAAATAAAAATAAATCTCACGCAGCAGAGCTGGGAAAGGTCTCCCCTGGAAGCTAGGGAGATGCCACCAGCCAGAAGACACAGCCATGGCACTGGATGGACATAAAATTTCATGGCCTGAATGCAGCTGGATGTATTTTTGGTCATATCAACTGATGTGCTGGGGCACCTGCTGCAGACTTCGGAAATATCGCGCAGTCTTGGTTTCTCTGTTGCCACCTCAGTAATTATAATTGTAGGCACCTTTGGCAAGCAAGCATTTGAGCACAGGCTGGAAGGCTGTCCATTGGAAGAGCTGAAATAGCACCCGTTGGTGCAGTTCCTGCCCTGAGCACGGGGGGGGGGGGTTAAACTTGATGACCTCTAAGATGCCTTTCCACCCTCGTCGCTCCAAGAGTCAAGTGCTTCTGAGGCTTGCACAGCGCTGGTCTGCTCCGGAAGGCCACGTGAGACTTGGAAACAAGCGGCACTGCATGGGTGTGGAGGACACACCAACGCATAGGGGTGCGTGTGGGAACGGGCTATATAGGGCAGAGTGATGCCATGGTTGCAATGTCTGAATGGGAACAGGGACACCAGGTTTCAGGTGCCCTTGCAGCCACGAAGCTCACTGAGCAACCATGGACTGCTCACCACTGAGTCCTCTCTGACTTATGACAATGCCTATGAAGGGAAGCCCTCCAAAATGACAGCTCCGTCCAGCTCTTCCAAGTTCAAGGCTGTGGCTTCCTTGATGGAGCCCACCCACCTCACCTCTGGTTTCCCCTTTTGCCTTCTGGCTTCAACTTTCCCTAGCATGGTCGTCTTCTCCAGGGAGTCTTGCCTCCTTATGAGGTGTCCAACGTAGGACAGCTTCAGGTATGTCCTTTTTGCTCATCAGGAAAGCTTCAGCTCGCTTTGATCTAGGAGCCACTTGATCGTCTCTCTGTCAGTCCAGGGTCTTTGCAAAGCTCTCCCCCAGCACCGTGTTTTGAAGGCAGCCATTTTCTTCTGATCAGCTTTCTTCACTGTCCAGCCTTCCCACCCATACACTGTGGGCCATGGACTAGGCACAGGTTTGTGGTGAAAATGAGAGCATGCTGCCTCTGTGTGTGTGTGTGTGTGTGTGTGTAAAGGTATGCTATGTGCATTAAATATTACTTACCTGGCACATCTATGGCAATTTCATATATGTATGTGTGTATGCGCGCACGCATTGTCATGTGCCATCAAGTCATCTCTGATTTACGGCAAGCCTATGAATGAAAGCCCTCCATGAAAGCCCTTCAAACTATCCTGCCCATGACAGCCCTGCTCTACACACACACACACACACACACACACAGAGAGAGAGCGAGAGAGAGAGAGCGAGAGAGAGAGAGAGCGCGAGCGCATGAGCGAGTTCACACATGCCTAGTTCATTCTGAGTGCATACGGCATATCGAATCAAACGCCGCAGGCAGAACCAGGGCTGCCAGCCTGAGAAATCGACTGAAAGGCTTCTGCAGTGTGGTATCATGCCGTGCCACAGGCAAAGGAGGGTGTGTGCGGTAGGAGATGCCGCTTTGGAGCATCTGAGCTTCCGATATGGGGCTGGTGCGCTCGCATCGCAAGCTCAGAATCCTCCCATCGCTCCATTCAAAAAGGTGCGGCCGCTGATGACAGAGAAAACCTCTCTGAAAAGCTGGGCAGCCACCGCTGGTCCAAGCAAGCAATGCTGAGCCTGATGGGAAGGGAGTCATTTCCTCATAAGGTTTTTGGCAGCTTCTTATATTCCAGCATGATGGGGACCTGGGCCCCTGGGCGATTGGACTCCACCTGAGCTCAGCAGGTAGCACGGGCAGCTTGTTGCAAATGGAAGAGCTGCAGGTGCAGGGGAAGGGAAGGGGGCGCATTCATTGGAGCGCCTTGCCTTGACAAGTGAATGAGGCGATAACGAGGCTTTCAAGCTTCCCTACTCTTCATGGCCAAGTGTCACAGGACATACCAAGGAATGAGGAAAACAACCAAGCCATTTACGGCTGCATTGCTCCTTGAGGTAGCGCCTACCCTGCCAGGCAGCTGAGAAATGGCCAATGGGGTGGGTTACAAATCTAATAAGGAAATAAATTAGCCGGCTGGAGCGAGGGGTCAGACTAGATGGCCCGCGAGACCCTTTCTGACATGCGCTGTTTCTATGTTTCTAAATATGCTAAGGAGAAACAGGTACACCACCATTCTGGTTACAGATTTCTTTTTCTTTGCTGTTTTGAGCTAGTGGTCAAAATGTCTTTGAACTTCTCACTAGAAGCTGTTTGATGTGTCTTAGAAGCCACACCTCGGTAGAAGAAGCACGCACCACGGAGTCCAGCACAGACTTCTCCCCACAGCTAAGCAAGCACAGGGCCGCAGCCGTGCCCCAAAAATCGAACTGGGAGATTTCAACCTAGCCTGTTCGGGGTGCCTAGGATTTATGATGACCAGGAGCGCCTATGGGGTGACGGTGGAGTCACCTTGAGGGGGTTGTCCTGATGAGCAACACCAGCAAAAGCATCTCTCACAAGGAAGATGGGGAAGGCCAGCAGAGACAGGGACTTCTTGCAGTGGGGTGGGCCTCTTGCCCCCATGTCTGGATAAGTGGGGAGAGCAAAAACATGGGGATTTGGGGTTTCTCTGCATAGGTGGCTCTCAAGTATGCACAGTCCCAGTTTCAGTTTTGGCAACGGCTGCAGGGGCAGGGGGAGAAAGACGTACGAGAGCGGTTCCGCAAGGCGGTGTGAAATGCTCTCCGTGGCTTCTCGGCTGCAAGACTTCCTACCGCAAAACAACTTGTGCTTTCTGTCCTCCCTCGCCACCGGCTGGGAAGAGAAAACCTCCTGTGCAGGGTTCTCAGAAGTGGGCCTCTGGAAAGACAGGTGGGACACCCGCTCTTGCTCATCACACGTCCCTTCACGCCCTGGTCCAGCCCTCCGCATACGTCCCCCGCCACCCTGCCGAGACTCACTTTTGCATGCAGTGGGCATGCTTACGTTCACAACCGGCCTGAAATGCCAGAAATCATGAAACGTGTCAAAGCAGGTCATCGGATTTTCCAACAGTTTTCGCAGCTCACTGGAGCAGATGCATTTGTCAAACCTGTTTCTGCTCCAGACAAGCAACAACTCTGTCACTGAAAGCGCTCACAAAGGCAGCATTTAAGCAGTATCACAGCCCTCGGTCTGGGAATAGACAGGACAGACTGAGAGAGGCCTGGTGTCTCTCTGCTGGTGTGAAACCAACTTCGCCTGCCTTTCCGTCGCTCTGCGATAACTGATTTGCCTCCCAGACAAAAACGGTTTGTGCATGAACTCAGCTCGTCTCTTTCAAGATCTCAGTGGGGCTGTATAAAAACGGGAAGAGAGTGAGAACGAGCGAGACGCTCTAATTACCTCTGAACAAATGCATTTCACAAGCATAACAGAAAGTATATTCCCCTCGTAGAGGTTTGGCTTAAAACAGATACACACACCTGGCGGCTCGCTTCTTTAACTGTGCCTCAACTCATCTCATCTAACAGTCTTGACACGCTTGAAAAACATTCCATGGACGACAGGCTCTTAAGCATCCTGTTAAAAAGATCTCTACGGTCAGTACTGGTGGAATCCAAAAATATGGCTGAGGCCAGTTCACACTCGGGTAAAAGGAGGCACCTGGAGGTCTCACGCTGGGCTGTGCAGGGAAGGGCCCCCACTCTGCAACGCAGCACCTGACTGGCATGCGAAAAATGCCATGCCCAGGTTCAACTGCAGGCCTCTCCAGGTAGGCCTGGGAAAGGCTCCCACTGGAAACTGTGGCGAGGTGCTGCCGTGCGCAGAACACTCTGACCCGGATGGGCAAGCGCTTGAGTCGATGGAAGGCGGCTTCCCATATTTTTACAGCTCAGCGGCAACACACCTGCTCTGCAGGCAAAATGCCCCAGTTCCATTCCCGACACCCCCAGGTAGGGGTAGGGGAAGAACGACGTCCTGAAGGGCTGTAGCTTGCCCATACCAACAATGCTGGATCAGATTCTGCATGTGACGCATTCTTATGCTCCTGCAGACTGCAGCTGCACATGGGTGCGAGCACGTATGCACTGCATTAACATGCCACATTGCCTTGAACTCACATCCGCTCTGACATCACATGCATCTTTCCCTGAAGCGCCAGGGCAGCGGAATCTAGGAACACCTGGGTGTTCAGAGAGAGGCGTGAGGCTGCGACTGCAGCCACAGACTGGGGATGCACTGCGCAGTGACCTCAACCTTTCCAACTCCATGGACCCACTTGAATATAGAACGCCAACCACAACGCCACAACCCACAAAATCCGGAGAAGCAGAAACCAAAAACCAGAGAACTTTGGTTGCTGGGAGGCACAGAGATTAAATAATTGTGCAAATAAAGCAAGCTGCAGGATGGGAGGGCCAACACACAGCCCAGGGGCCAAATCCCCCTCCCCCCCACACACACCTGAGCTGCCATGTTTGCAATGGCAATAAAACATTATTTCATTTAATGTTAACGTAGATTAACTATGCACTATGCAAAGAAGCCTTTCCTTTTATCTGCCCCGAAATTTCCACTCGCTTGCTTTATAGGATGACCTCAGGTTTCATTATTATGTGACCAAGACAAAAATGTCTCCCTATCCACTTTCTTCACACTAGAGATAATTTTGTGTACCTCCATCATGTCTCATGTTACTTGCCCTTTTTCTCAGTTAAGTTGTTGTAACATTTCCTCATAGGGAAGTGTCTTCAGCCCCTTGAACATTTAGTTTACCTTCCCTACTTTTTCCCCAGCTCTATACAATCCCGTGTCCGGTATGGCATCCAGAACCGCACATGATGTTCCGCGTGCGTCTGCAGCCTGACAGGGGCACTTGGATCCTTCAGAGCCTTTCCTAATCATGCCTAGCACCGAATTTGCCAGCCACTGCACCAGGGAACAGCCAGTGCGGCCACCTCACTGCTCTTTCCTAATTCCAGAGTTTTTCTGAATTAGTTGATCTTAGGGAAATGTGGTAGGTCAGCAATTTCAAATCTGATTTCTTTAGGAACCCTAGAAGGGATACCGCCTTGGCCCAGTGATTCATAAGCTTTCAATTTGTCAGTAAGGTCGAGAATCATGCCTTTGAGGC